TATGTATAAATTAATTATATAAAGCAATTATTTATATATATATATATATATATATATATATATATATATAATGTAAATATAAATAAATAAAATAAATAAATAAATAAAATAAATAAAATAAATAAAATAAATAAAGTAAACAAACAAACAACTAAAGATAAAACGAAATAGAATAAAACAAAACAAAACGAAATAAAATAAAATAAAATAAATAAATAAAAATAAATTAAATAAATTAAATAAATATAAATAATAAATTTACTCTTTTTTATACAAGTTTGTTGAGGAGGTGCGTATACACCCCAAAACACCAAAAAAAGAGAAAAAAAGATAAAACAAAAAAACAAAAACAAAACAAAATAAGGCAAAACAAAATAAAATAAAATAAAGCAAAACAAAATAAAATAAAATAAAATAAAATAAAATAAAATAAATAAATAAATTTACTCTTTTATCTGGGGGTGCCGAAGTTTGTTGAGGTTTATATACACCACAAAAACACCAAAAAAAGAGAAAAAAAGACAAAACAAAAAACCAAAAACAAAACAAAACAAAATAAATAAAATAAATAAATAAACGTACTCTTTTATCGGGTGGTAATTCTCTTTTGGGGACCCTACATATACACGTGGTGCCGAAGTTAGTGGTTGAGGTTTGTATACATCGGAGACAGCAGAGCCTCTCAAACCCTTCTTTTCTCCATTTAGCTATTAACCTAGCATCAGCCCATCCTTCTCTTACGCAGTAATCATATAACTCCCCTGAAAAATATAATATATTATACAAATATATCGAGGGTTTAGGGTTTAGGGTTTAGGGTTTTGATGCTCTAGACGTGCAGAGAACAAAAATCCGCTTTGTCGCAAAAAAAAACGGAAAAAAACAAGGGTTTAGGGTTTAGGGTTTAGGGTCTAGGGTTTAGGGTTTGCGGGAGAAATAAAACAAAGAACAACACAAACAAACCTCAGCAACCCTAAACCCTAAACCCTAAACCCTAACATGAGCCCAACTCCTGTTATCCCCCCCTCCCCCCTCTCCAACCCCTAAACCCTAAACCCTAAACCCACCCCCCTCCCCCCTCCCCC